AAAAAAAGAACCAAGAGAATTGAAGAAAAAGGCTGCTAAGAGATCTCTATTAAGAACACAAGGCACATCTCGACAACGAAAATTGCGGAAATAAGCCTTCATGTTTGAAAACTCATAGTCTTTAAAAACAAATGTAGCATCATATTTTTTGGTGTACTTAGGGTGACCTGGGGTAATTCGTGATCAAAAAACGCAAACATCTATTTTGTGAAAAAACCATTCAAAATAGAATTTTAATATTTACTGGAAGTTTGAGGCTATATGAGATGAGTCCAATGCCACCTTCTTTTGTTTGAAAATCTAATTAGAATTTAAAAGAATTTAAATTTTTAGTGATCAGGAATTACCCCTGGTCTTGATCATTTCTGGGGTAATTCTTGATCACTTCTGGGGTAATTACTGATCACCAGTTTTTATTGTAAAGGGGCTGTTTAAAAATAATTATATAATGGTAATTAACAAATAAGACATCAAGATCAAACAAATAAACCAAAAAGATATGTTTAAGCAGCTAATAAAATTATTTATTTAAAAACAAGAAGAACGATTAACAAAATTTAAATTTTAAAAAATCTTTGCATCGTGCCATACATTTTAGGCAATCAGCCAACTCATTCTCATGTTGTTCTGAAATATAAGAGAGTTCCCACATGGATTACTTTTGCTGGATTTTTTAACTTCATTAAGGGAAAGTGTAAAGTTAAGTAAGGGTATGTCAACAGCTCTGGCAGCAGCTCTCACATTGAAATTTTCATTTTCAATCATTAAAAGAAATTCACTAATTTTGTTTTCTAGAAGCTTAGTATCCTTTTTAGGCTTATAAAATCTCACCATATTTATACTAGACTAATTTATAAACTTAAAAATTATTCTAATAATTATACTAGGCTAATTTATAAACTTAAAAATTATTCTAACGATGTACACACATAAAATTAAGATAAGTAAATTAAGCAAGGTAAGACAAATCAGAAATGGGGCAAATCAGAATGCAGTCTTGTATACAGTTAAAAACAAACTTTGTGATGACAGTTAAAATATATTTTATAGTTGTTCCACTTAATAAATATGAACTGTTATTTAAGAAAAGACAATTAGGTATTTATAAGCTATTTTATATACTATTTATAAGAAGAAATGACAATGATCAGGAATTACCCCAGTGATCAAGAATTACCCCATCTGTAGGGGGCAACATTTGATATAGTTTCCTATAATCAGTTATAATGTTTACAGTAGATGTGAAACAATTAAACAAAAGGTTACACTACTTTTATATCAAAGAAAAAGAAAGTGACTCAAAATATTTATTATTAAAAGAAGGAGGGGGATCTTTGCAGAAATGTGCACATTTTGAAACCCATCTTTGAAATGGAAAATACAGAAAGCAGTTTAAAAGATACTTATTTTGTTAAATTAAACAAAAAATTATTATTAAGTAAATGTAGTTATACTTTAGTAAAGTGTACAAGCATTCTTGTCCATGTCTTAAATTTAAAAAAATATAATTTTTTAAAAATAAAACTTAGGTGATCATTACTTACCCCAGAAACAGAGTGATCGTGAATTACCCCGGGTCACCCTACTTATAAAACAACAATTTATATAAAAGTGTTAGAACAGTTAAATCCCATGAATATAATATATAGAAATTTTGCTTTGCAGTTCTCTGTAAGTTAATTATGCTTTTCACTTAGTTTTATGCAAAAAATTAAACATTGTAAACCCTATCCCGTTTTATCCAACCCAGGTATGCTAAAACGGGATATGTAAGAGTTCGGAAATTAATTTTTTTTTCTATTTCACAGTCATTAAAATTAGTTTAAAATATGTTTTTTGTGTGCTTCAATAAATGTTGTAGCTACAAAAAAAAAATAATGTATGGTTTTCCTTAACAGATATTCCGTAGTAAATAAAAACAATAATGGTATCCCGTTTTGTCCAACTCTCCCCTACGCCTTTTGAGGATTGATAGCTGAGACACGAACTTTTTAAAATATATCAAAGTTATAAAAAATATACTTTTTTGTAATCTTTTGTATATTATTCTTTTTTTGATACAAAATTCATTTTTGAGAAAACAACGTATACAGCACGGAATATTGGGGGGGGGGGATTTTGTGTCNGGAATATTGGGGGGGGGGGGATTTTGTGTCATAAATTTCATTTAAAGCTTATAAAGGAATGGTACTTACTTGCACATATTAGAGCTACATGATCATCTCTGTATTTTAATAAATTTTCTGCAATATTCAATCTTGATCCAGAAAACCATTCAGGGGGTTCATTCATAGGCACACTTAGGTCTATAACCTTCGGAAGATGATAATTTCAATTTTAGTTTATTTAAAATTTTCCTAAAACAAAATAATCATATTCACATATAAACCTTTATTTTTATGTTTTCTCTTATTCGTGTCCGGAGAAAAAAATTCTGGTGAAATTACCATACTCTATGACAATAACATTTCTGATTTAAAAAAATATTTAATTCTGGTAATTAAAATTTACAGTATTTAAACCATTCATTTCGTAATTTTTCCGTTTCTATGGCAACGGTTTCCCAGAAATTCTGGTTTTTTAAATTATAGTTCTTATTACCACATAATTAGTGAAAAATACTAAACTATATGGTAATTTAAACCGAATGAATAGCAAATTTTAAATTTTACCATATTCTGGTAGGCAATGCCTTTTACTTTTAGTGTGCATCAAATCATTCTGTTGAATGACAAACTCCAAAGTATTTTGAAATTTGCTAGTAAAACTTCGATAATTTATTTATGAAATTCAAACAAGTAGAAGCTGAATTTACTAAAACTATTTTTTTGAATATTATAAAACACTAAATAATTTAAATTTTCGATGCAAAGCACTCAATACTTTAAGCTAATTAAAGCTAATTATAATTGCTTTCAGTTAGTATTTGAGTAGCAAATATTGTTAATTAGATAAATTATCCTTTACAGTACTTAAGTTTTATTATTTAGAACTTCAGTAAAGAGTTACCTTATCATATTTTTTCGAAGCTATCACTCCTGTAAATTCCCACATTTCTGTCCAAAACTCTTCCAGATATTCTACAGTCCATTTATGAAAATCTTTATAGCCTTCTAAATTGAAAGGAAAGAAAATATTTTTAAAGAAACAATAAATTAAAGCAAAAAAACTACTATTTTCAATTTTAAAAAAATATCGTAATTTGAAAAAATTTTCCGCTAATGTGTTAAAACTAATTTTGTTCTGTTATTTCAAAAATAAATTTTGTAAATTCATTTGATGGTCGTACATGGTGCCTGACTGTAGTCACACTGAGCAAAGAAAAATGAACCACCCTGAATAACTTTTGATCTAATAATCGGATTTTCACGTTCTCGGACTCAATCTTAATGGTTCAAGTTGGTGACCTCAAATATGCTAATTAATTAGTGCAAACGATATTTTAAGTTACGAAATCAGACTCAAAACGTACTTTCTCTGAATAAACATGCCTTTTTTTCAACGGATTCGGATTTCTGACCTTCAAAATATGTGGGGAAACAGCAATCTGGGAAATGTCCCAATAGTTTAGTCGGGTGAGGGGTCAGAAGTTTGGACCCTTAATGCTAATTTGATTTTTTGCGTATTTCGCTATATCTTGAAAACTTTTTAAGCAAATTGAAAGTTTTTTGCCCACAATTATAAAATTCGTTGGTTATAGATAATTCCCTGAAAAAAAATTTGCAAATGTTTATTATTTTTTATTATTTTACTTAATAATAATCGAAAAACATTTGTATTGTAAAGTATAACATTTTATGCATCATATTAACGTTTGAAATTTTGCATGAAAAAATACAAAGGAGAGAAGGTTGTCGAATCATCTCCTGAGGCATCGAATTTTAAAAAAGTCGTATATTTACAAATACGATTTCTCAGGAATTATTCAACTCATTTCGGTCAAATTTCGTATTTTGCCATTTAAAATTTCGTACTTTAAAACGATGCAAAAAATTGTGTGCCTTACAATTCTAAATTTTTCTTATTCCAAATAAAATAATAAAAAATTTTTAAATATTTAGTAAAATTTATTTTTGCATCGAATTATCTTTGAACAAACGAATTTTATAATTATGTGCAAAAACAATTCGCTTGAAACGTTCCCATGATACAGTGAAATACGCAAAAAATTAAATTAGCATTATGAGGTCCAAACGGTGAACCCCTCTCCTGATCAAACTATTGGGACCACATTTCCCATATTGCGACTACCTCATGTATTTTGAAGGTCAGAAATCCGAATCCGTCGGAAAAAAAGTATGTTTATTCAATAAAACAACGTTTTTGTGTCTGATTTCTTTACTTAAATTATCGTTTGCCCTTATTGATCAGCATATTTAAGGTTACCCTCTCAAACCGTTAGGATTAAGTCTTAGATCGTGAAGATCAAAACATTAGATTGTCGCATTGTGCTTACAGATTTTTAGTAAGTAAACACAAGAAAATCATTTGCGTATCTGTTTATTCTACATACCAAATTTTCTATCGTACTTTTCTTCTATAACCTTCATAAATTTCTTCAGTAATTTTCCAGAATTTTCTTTGGGATACCGCATAACCTGTACATCTTCATATTTGCTATTAAAGGCCATTTTTACTACAAAAGAAAATAATTATTTGCATAACTCATAGCTGCATAGAAACTGAATTAACTGTCAAAGCGTGTGTAAATGGTAAATTTTTAGATGTTGACATGTTTTAAAACTATGGGTATAGGGATTCTGCCGCTTATTCAAATTCCCGACTCCTTTTTGATGACAGCTCATTTGCCTCAGAGGTAAGTTGTCCAGATAACTAATTTTCCCTACATATACATGTGCCCAATATATCTTCCCGGAAAGTACATTTGCGTAACAGTTTATGTTACCAACGGACAATTAAATGATTTTCCATGATGCGTAGAGTTACAAAGGTATGTACGACTGGAACCTGTTTACGTCAAAATCTGTAAGTATTTAATGCGAGACCGATTGTTTCCGCATGTCTCTTGCTGAATAACGTGTTCCAATAAACATCTGCCGGAACCGTCCGGAGTATGTCCACACCCCTTCCCTTGTGGAGTGGAGATGTGAACTGTTATAACCACCAGCCTACCTTTAAATATACCTTTTTATAACGTAATATGGCTTATGACTGCATTATTAAATACAGCAACGATGACAGGGATGTGGCCCTGCTATTATATATATATATTATTATTATTATTATTATTATACTTAAAACGGTCAACCATCCATTCTGAGCCGCGATAGCTCAGGGGATAAAGCGTTCGCCTTCCAATGAGGTAAACCGGGGTTCGATCCCGGCGATAGCTGGTCGATACGAATTCCGCATTCGGCTTGCACCGGCCGCAGTACTGACGTGAAATATCCTATGTGGTAGACGGATCATGAGTTAGAGTCC